ATTTTTGTGCTCCAATATTGGCAAACCTTTGAAAGACGTCCATAAATAGGCGAAAGACTACATAAATAACATCATGACAATAAATTGACGAATTTCCAAAGGTGTGTGACGTTAACATCTGACTAAGGATCTTTTTGATTGCATAACGATTAGTTTCGTACTTATTTTTATCACAAAGATAATTACAAAAAAAAAACAAGTAAAAAAGCTAAAGTCGGGTGTCCCAACTTTGAAATACTCTGTACATATGTTTACAATAATTATAGAAAATAAAAAAAATTAAGAAAATAAAAAAAAAAATTTGATCGATTTTACCTCTCTCGGTATTCGAACTCACGTAAAGGGTGTATAATTGCACATTTACATAGCAATTGCGTCTGTGTGAGTGTATGTATGCCTATGCGCATCTATTCGTGTCTGTGTAAACATATGTGCAGTCAACCAAAGCACCAGCATCAACAACAGCCGCGGGCAGCGCTTGAGCAGCGCTGCAGCAGCAAATATATTTATGGCTATAACTTCTTGTTAAATCGGTCTATCATAATGAAATTTGGCATACGGACACATAATAACTAACTGGGGGTATTTCCAAAATTTTAGTTCGAAATTCCAAGAATTACGGGAGTTACGATTTGCTGGGTAGAGGGGGGAGGGAGGGGAATTCCAAAATATACATTTTCTGCGTATTCACATAAGGCATCTGGGACTAAAATTTGGTATTCCTAGGTCTTATAGTCTCCGAGATATAGGCGATTATACGAATGGAAAATCGGGAAAACCCCCATAGGGGGGAAGTGGGGGGGAAAATCAAAAAAATAAAACAAACTCGTATAGAATACACACATAACGCATCTTCGTGCAAAATTTGGTGTCTCTATCTCTTATAGCATATAAGCATTTTCGCAGTCAACCAAACAGCAACATCAACAACAGCCGCGGGCAGCGCTTGAGCAGCGCTGCAGCAGCGCTGCATCAGCAAATATATTTATGGCTATAACTTCTTGTTAAATCGGTCTATCATAATGAAATTTGGCATACGGACACATAATAACTAACTGGGGGTATTTCCAAAATTTTAGTTCGAAATTCCAAGAATTACGGAGTTACGATTTGCGGGGTAGAGGGGGGAGGGAGGGGAATTCCAAAATATACATTTTCTGCGTATTCACATAAGGCATCTGGGACTAAAATTTGGTATTCCTAGGTCTTATAGTCTCCGAGATATAGGCGATTATACGAATGGAAAATCGGGAAAACCCCCATAGGGGGGAAGTGGGGGGGAAAATCAAAAAAATAAAACAAACTCGTATAGAATACACACATAACGCATCTTTGTGGAAAATTTGGTGTCTCTATCTCTTATAGTCTCTGAGATCCAGGTGTTCATACGGACGGACAGACGGACAGACAGACAGACAGGGCTAGATCGACTCGTCTCGTCATGCTGATCAAGAATATATATACTTTGTGGGGTCTGCCACGCCTCCTTCTGCCTGTTACATTTTTCAGCTCCCGCAAACCTAATATACTCTTGTACATTTCATGTACAGAGTATAAAAAAAGCAAGGCTGCGGTGGATTCATTATTTCGGCAGGTAAGGCGGTATATATCAGGAGTTGAAGTTGTTTTTCATTCAAATTTAAATTACTTTGCCTTCTTAATAGATTACCTTCCTCATCGCCCTTAATGGAGCTCTATCAGAGTCCACATCCGTGATACCTATCACAGGAGTACCACTACCATTCACGTCTAACTCATTTTGACGTTCAACTTTATTCAACTTTGTTATCCTCTGGCAAGTAATCAAATTCATCAGCAGAAAAATTGAGGTCATACTCGCTTTCTAAACCTTTTCACAGTCGCCGACTAACTTTGTACGGGTACAGACGTCTTCGCTAATAAGCTCGCTTAGTACAAGTACAAGTCTTATCTCTGTTTTTTTCTTCTATTTGCTTTGCTTCGGTTCGGTTCGTTTTTTTTTTTAAACGTGTTCGGATCGAAAAAAAAGAAGAGCCATGGCCTCTAGGCCACCTGAACCGAGTGAAAATCAGTTTTCCTTCTTAAGTGATAGCCCGAAAACAAAAAAGAAAAGACAATTCCAACGTAATCCGCTCGATTTCCTTGAGCTCCCTGAAATAACATCCCAAAACCGTAAATACATCTCTCTCTCTTCGTCTGACAATACGAATCCCATAACAGATTATTCCTGCATTGTGTTAAACAATGCCATCAAACTGATCTCAAAAGAAACGATTTCGATCAGACCACTACGTGATGGATCACTTCTCATTCTAGCAAAAAATAACGATGTGGCAGATAAATTCTTAAAAACAAAACTTCTGCCGGGTATCTGCGAAATTACCTGTAAACTCCACCAAACCCTAAATAGCGTTAAAGGTACAGTTTTTGCCCCATATTTAAACAATATCCCTGACGAAGAAATTATCAATGAACTTAATGTCACATCTATCTACAAATTCACAAAAATGATTGACAGTACCCCAACACCTACTGGAGTAGTCTTACTTACATTTAACTTATACACACTTCCAAATAACATAAACATTTCATGGTACACTGAAAAAGTTCCCAACCCCATGCGCTGCAAAAGCTGTAACCTCTGGGACACACAGCCAAATATTGCAAGAACCCCCCAGTTTGCCAAGACTGTAATTTGCCTCCACATTCCCCAGAAAAATGCACACGCACCCAATGCGCTAATTGTAAAGAAGAACATACCTCATCATCTCCCATGTGCAAAAAATTTCAAGAGCAAAAGGAAATTCTAAAAATAATAACCAGAAACAAATGCACCATAAGAGAAGCCCGTATGTTGTTCAAACAGAAAGCTCAATTACCCTCAACTTCTGGCATTTCTTATTCCACTGTAACTGCAAATACCGAAACATTGCCTCCTATAACCAAAACGGACAAAAATATTAGCGGTGAGTCGGCCCCCAAAACCAAAACATCGCTATCAGTAAACAAAATAGCAGAAAACCTAGAACAAAAAACGACAGCTCAACATCTCAATCTATCTACTCCCCCCATCCCCCGATCCATACCAACTACTTTAAACAGATTATCGCAAGATATCAACTCCACATGCGAACACAAAACAAAGACAAACCTAATAACAAACTACCTAAAAACAAACACCACAAAACATATAACTCCAAAAACTTTTTTTGACCTAAGCAAACAAATATCTCAAGCCCAAGCGACTCAGGCGATGCAATGGAAGTGGCTGATTCTTAATCAGTTGCTCCGCTTGCATTCCCTCGTAAAAATATAATTTCTTTTATCTATTTATTTATGTTTTCTAATGACAATTAAAATTGTTCAATGGAACATGAATGGGTACATAAATAATTATCACAAATTATATATTCTCATAAAAAACAGCAATCCAGATATCATTGAACTTGGATCTGCTCTAATAAAAACAAAAGGAAAAACGCCTGGATTTGATAAAATATCATACCCCATGTTAAAAAATCTCCCGATAGAAACAAAACAAAAATTTACAACCTAATACTAGATAATGGCGTCTGTCCCCATGCTTGGTTATCTGCGACTATTGTTCCGCTCCCCAAGCCCAATAAGGCAGCACACGAGATCTCTAGTTTCAGACCGATCTCTTTACTCTCCTGCGTCAGCAAACTATTTGAGAAAATCATCGCCCAACGGCTTGTTTGGTTTGTGAACAGAAACAATTTGATTTCTAATAATCAGGTCGCTTTTAAACGTAAACAAAGCACAATTGACGCACTTCTTCAAATTCAACACTTCGTCTCAGACGCTCTTTCTTCCAGAAATCACGTCTCAATTTTAGCGACAGATTTTGAAAAAGCTTTTGATCGCGTGGGGATACACGCCGTTCTTTATCAACTTGGGCTTTGGGGAGTCGGTCCTAGGGCCTTTAACGCAGTAAAGGCCTTTATGACTCGGCGTACTTTTCGAGTCCGAGTTAACGGGACCTACTCCAGTTTACACCCGCTACATAATGGCATTCATTCATTGCCTTTAAAAAACTTAATAAAATAATCATAGGTCATAAAAACATCAAATTAGCCATTTACGCAGATGATGCTATCATATATACAAAAATCAAAGATACGAAAATTATACATGAATCGTTATACCTTTAGTAATATACGACATTGTAAAATGGGGAGACCTATCGGTTGCCACGCTTGTTACCGAAAAGTACAAGTTTCTGCATATCTGCAGAAAACACAGATGTTCTGCCAAATACAACAACTTAACATATCGCAATACTGTTATCGAGAATGTTACCAAACTTAATGTCTTAGGGATTATATTTGATTCTCAATTTAATTTCAAAGAACACTGCTCACAACTTGCACTAAATTTAGACACCAGACTTAATATCATAAAATTTTTAAGTTCAAAATTTTCACACATACATACTAATACCCTTCTAAATATAACTAGAGCTCTGATCCTCACTAAACTGGAATACGGGTTGCCTATTTTTGGATGGAGTTCGTGTTCTAACCGGAAAAAAATTCAAGCGCCGTACCATAAAGCAATCCGTCGCAGCCTAAATGCCTTTCCAACTTCCCCGGTTAAATGCATCTTAGCTGAAGCCGGTCTACCAACTCTGGAATATGCCGTACACGCGACTACCATGAAGCTACTACCATTTTATCCATTGTTTTACTATGACACTACTCTTAAGACTGTGTTGTAGCTCATATTGTCAAGAAAACACGGCCCGTGCCCAAATTGTGCTAGTTGTCACGCGTGTCGTGACTTGACATTTTTTCACTACTTTGCAGTAGGTAGGATTTATAATAATTTACGCTACCAAATTGGGTAGGTAAACTGTCTTTCACCATATTTGATTTTTTGTTGTGATTTGTAAACAAATTCATACATTTAAATATTTAAATTTCACATATTGGAGCATACAACTTTTTTTTGTTTTTATGTAAATAGCAAATTATAAAATGCATATGTTTAATTATACTTACCAACGTATTGTGGTCGCTCTCATACATTTCAGCGATGCTTTGATGGTGTTTTGCTGCCATTGTAAATCGTCCCATGTCTGTATATATGTCAATGGATTTCATCAAGCATGTAACGGCGAACTCAATATCAACCTTTTTGTAGCAGTTTGAAGCATCGACGTAACAAAGACCAGCGTCATGTCGGCTTCCAGAGCGTGCATGCAAATTTGCTGCCTCACAAAAACATTCCCCTGCCTTAGTCCAATTCTTCGACATTTTAAACATATTCCCGGCCCGTTGATAGCACTCAATCGCATCTTCAATCTTATTGGAACCACTAGGAAATTAAGAGAAATAGTAGTTTCGAATGAGTTTTCATATTAAAACATGCTTAAATGTTATGTTGAGATATCGCAATGCAAAGATTGATTTGCATACCAAAGAATTCCAGTTTCGCTTATCCTTTTGTGGCTCTATTACAACTACAAGGTGTGTTCCAAAGTAAACAGGACTTTAAAAAAAAAACACAGAACAAATGGGTTTTTCGGCAAAATCAATTTATTTTATTCAAAATAGTCTCCTTCTGCTTCAATACAGCTTTTTACACGATCCAAAACCATGTCGAACGAGTGTTTTAGCTCGTTGGCCGGTATGGCCGCCAGTATGCCGGTGTAAGCCTTTTGAATGGCCTCTACGTCTGCATAACGCTTTCCTTTCATGGGCAAATGCATTTTTCCGAAAAGGTAGAAGTCGCACGGTGCTATATCAGGTGAATACGGCGAGTGGTTAATGGTTAAAATGTGATTTTTGGTCAAATAATCGGTCACAAGCTTCGATCGATGAGAGCAATTTTTGGTCGTCAGTCAATTTGTGCGGAACAAACCGAGCACACACCTTTCGTAAGCCCAAATGTTCGGTCAAAATGCGATAAATCGATGTTTTGGAGATGTTCAATTCCATTTCCATCAATTTCAATGATGATTTCTACTGATTTTTTAAATTCACACACAGTTTCGATGGAATTTTCGGTGATCACGAATTTTGATTGGCCCACATGTTGATCGTCATTTATGTCCTCACGACCACTTTGAAAACGTTGAAACCACTCGTACCCTCTGCTACGGGATAGGCAATCATCGCCATAAACTTGTTCCATCAATTTAAACGTTTCGGTAAAAGTTTTACCAATTTTAAAACAACATTTAATGTTGGCTCTTTGTTCGAAGCTCATTTTCGCACCGATAACACAAACATACTGTCACATAAAACGCAATAACTGCACTTCCAATCGATGAAATGTCATGAAATTGTCACTGGACAATCGAAAAAGATAGCAGATTCTAACGCACCAGTCGACATATAGATAGCGCCAACAGGGGCGCTAGATTCAAAAAGTCCTGTTTACTTTCGAACGCACCTTGTATGTATTTGAATTACCAATTAAGCATTTGAAAATCCAAAACCATCTGTGATTCAATGATAATTGATCGATCTGTGATTTTTTATTTTCACTGTTATAAAATTATACACAAGAAAAATTGAAAAACAAGCAAAAAAGCTAAAGTCTGGTGTCCCGACATTGAAATACTCTGTACATATGTTTAGAATAATTATAGATATTAAAAAAAGTAAGGGAATTAAAAAAAATTTTGTTGATTGATTTTACCTCTCTTGGTATTCGAACTCACGTAAAGGGTGTATAATTGTACATTTACATAGCAATTGTGTCTATGTGAGTCTATGTATGTTTATGCGCGTCTATTCGCGTCTGTGTAAGCATGTTTGCAGTCAACCAAAGCATCAGCATCAACAACAGCTGCGGGCAGCGCTTGAGCAGCAAATATATTTACATGTATTGCTATAACTTCTTGTTAAATCGGTCTATCATTGTGAAATTTGGCATACTGACACATAATCGCTAACTGTGGGTATTTCCCAAATTTGAGTTCGAAATTCCAAAATACACATTTTCTGCGTATTCACATAAGGCATCTTGGACCAAATTTTGTGTCCCTAGGTCTTATAGTCTCCGAGATGTAGGCGATTATACGAATGGAAAATCGGGGGAAAAATAAAAAACAATAACAAACTTGCAAAGCGTACACACATAACGCATCTTTGTGCAAAGTTTGGTGTCTCTACCTCTTATAGTCTCTGAGATCCAGGTGTTCATACGGACAGACAGACAGGGCTAGATCGACTCGTCTCGTCATGCTGATCAAGAATATATATACTTTGTGGGGTCTGCCTGTTACATTTTCAGCTCCCGCAAGCCTACATTTTATATACAGAGTATAACAAGCAGTCGCCTGTATTGTTGATGTAAATAGGCAAGACCATACGAGTAAGTACTTGGACATTTCCATAATGTAGCATTTGAAGTGAAACAAGGAAGGAATGCTAAAGTCGAGAAGGTTCAACTCTTAAATACCCTGTACCTCAAAAAAAAAAGGAAAAATTAATTAAAATTAAAATAAATTATATTAATTAAATTATTGAATTTAATTAAATACAAATTATTCAATACATATTTACAAAAGTGGAGACATGTTCATGTACAGTTTCAATAGCATACGTTTACATCAGAATCGTGCCTCTGCGTGTTTATATCCGTGTGTGTATGCGAACTAAAGCTGCAACAACAGCAACAGCTGCGGGCAGAGCTGCAGGCTGAGCATGGGGGGCAATTTATTTATGGCTAAAACTTTCTTCATAATTGACCAATCATGACGACACTTACGGACAGATAACCACAAACTCGATGTATATGCCAAATGTGAATTACGGGAGTTATGAAAAACACGAATTGCGGGAGAGTGGGGAGGTGTATCAGAAAAAAACACAAAATCGTCCTTTCTCCAAGTTTGGTAATTCTACCTCTTGTAGCTTCTGAGATCCTTGAACTCGTTCAGACGGACATAGCTATATCGACTCGACTTGTCACCCTGATCAAGAAAATATATACTTTGTAAGGTCTGCCACGCCTCCTTCTGCCTGTTACATACATTCGCACAAAACTAGTATAGACTTTTAGCCTTTGGGTACAGGCTATAAAAAATAAAATGAAAAATTGGTGCTAAGGTAGATTTATGGTAACTTTTCATTTCCAAGGTAATTGCATAAAAACCAAAGTATTCACATGGGACAAATTCACAAGTGGAATCCCAAGTGAGCTCTCTCTCCCCTCACTATAATCTTCTATTTTCAGCTACCTCCGGCAGAATCACTGATCACCACTGCTGTGAGCAGGGGCATAGCTTGCCGGGCTGCCTAATAAATTTTCCCCCAAGGGGTCAGTGATTCTTAGCGATGGAGGTCGGTAGGGGATTGTTATTAGAATTACATTAGCAGCTTGCTTTATTTGCAAACGCCAGCAGTGCTTTCGGAGAACATTTAGCTGCATCCTTCAACGAGGCAAGATTATGTGCGTTTAGGTACCTGGTTCTGTCAGTATAGAGGTGTACAAACGTTTCTATCGCTTCGGGTTCTTTACATTTCCTGCATCTGTCCTCAGCTGTGATGCCCATCTTCTTGACATGGGCCGCTACTAAGCAGTGACCTGTCAATAGGCCAGTTATAAGTCTGCACTCCTTTCTCTGGATTTGGAGTAGGAATTGGGTGAGTTTGTGATCTCTACCCTTGCACATTGTGCGCACTGTTTTGCAGTTGATATGACGATATAAAAAATGTAAAAAAATATATTAATTTTTAATAAACAACACATGTAGAATTCTTTAGTGGGATCAGATGCGCTTCTCAAACATTTGCGATGATATGACGACTTTGACTTTGCGTGCGAAATTAGTGCGTGAAAGTGCGTTTATATTTCAATCAGGGTTCATAAAATGTGCTCACGAGCCACGGCTACCCATAAGAAATTCTGCCACGGGTAGTCGTGGGTTGTTGCCAAGCGCTCGTTCGTGACAGGCACGCATATGTACATATGTGTGCAATTTTTATGATGGTGCGCTTGTGTGTATATATTTCAAGCCGGAATGTGTGCGGTCCGTTTCATCCCTTTCAATTTCACCAAGCTGTTTTGCATGAGATGCATAGTGGTATCTGATACTATTTCTGAATGAATTGTGAGTGGTGTGCGTCGTCAAAAAAAAAACTTAAACTCGTACTTTCTCGGTCTTAGGAGAATCTGAATACCAAGATCATCCTGATCAAGAATATATATATACTTTGTGGGACGCCTCCTTCTGCCTTTTACATACATTCGCACAAAACTAGTATAACCTTTCACCCTTTGGGTACAGGGTATAAAAACACCACTGCCAAGTAAACGTATACAATACTCTCTCCCCTATTGAAAATGTCACAAGCCTACGAATTCTTAATCTTTAATCATCGCTATAACTGGAATAGCCACATAGATAACCTGCCTGCTTCCCTCTCCAACAGACTAACCTTAATAAAATTCTTATCTTCACTGTTATTAGTCTCAAAAGCTCTTATCATGTCTAAAATCGACCAATAAATTAAAATCTGTATACCTAAGACTCCCTATGACGCCATCTCGAACTATCCTTATAGTTAGGAAGGGTCGTCAACTCCTGCCTAAAAATTTCCCCAACACCCTTCTAGCCTGGATTCCTGGACACTGTAACATCCAAGAAAACGATACCGCAGACGCCTCCGCAAAAAGCTCCACCAAATACCTCCTAACCTATCACCCAAATTACAATATCAGCGATATTAACCATTTTAAAATATTCTTTAAGAGACGGCCTTATCAGAGTCATTCAGGTTACTATCAGTTGATATAATGTCAGCATCCATGGATACACTGAAGCCCTGGCTTAGAATCTCTCGTCCTATCAGCACATCATATTTTAGAAACTTATCCATAATAACGTGCAACAAAATCTCAAAATAATATTGTTCAACATTTATATTACATAAAACTTGCAATGTGCTACAAATAGACTCATTACCTATGTCGTTTAGTTTTACAATATTATGAAGTCTCTTTTCCTTCAATTTATCAGCTACACTTTCCTTGACCAAAGAACATTCAGCTTCTGAGTCTAAATAAAATGGAATAGACTCACCGGATACGATTATTGTTCCCATTGGTGGAGCAACTGTGCAAATGTCTATACGCTTCTCATAGGTCTTGTCGCCTCCACCTATTATCCCTTTTGGACATGCAGATGCGTAATGTCCAATTACGTCGCACTTAAAACATTTTATATTGGACCGGTCTTCGCTTCAGATGCGCTGCTTACGTTTTGACTTTTTCCTTTTGTGCTATGTGCTTTCTCCAATCGATCACGACATTCGGCATATTTGTGGCCCGCCCTGCCACAGTAATTGCATTTCACCTGAGAC